ATTTCAGGGTCCTCTAACTGCCTTAACTCTTGACTTCCTCAGAGGTTGGCATTGCCCTAGCAGGCAGGTCATTTTAAAGGCCAACCATCCAACAGAGGTTCTGTAGAAATAGCCAACAAGAATTTTGTCAGTTTCCCTGAGTGTCTGTTGTCTAACCAAAAGAGATATGGGAATGGAGGTGGTCACAAGTCTAAGCCAGAGAGCTCAGATCTGACAGCTTGTTTTATGTATGAAGATCTCTTTAGGGTTGTGCCTCTAAAGAATTTTCTTTCTGATGTTAAATAGCTATCAGCAATCATCCTTGATAAAAATTGCTAGTGAGCTAAATGATAGCCTGGAGCTCCTGACTCTTTAATACTCACATTCACACCTTTCTTTCACTTCTCCCTTACCCTATCCTTGACAGCTAGCTACCACTGCACTTTATTTCACATACTCGGCCCTAGAAGAGGAGATGGACCGAAACAAGGACCACCCAGCCTTTACTCCCTTGTATTTCCCCACGGAGCTACACCGCAAGGAGGCGCTGACCAAGGACATGGAGTATTTCTTTGGTGAGGAGTGGAGGGAGAAAGTGAAGTGCTCAGAGGCCACCCAGTACTATGTAGACCGGATCCATTACGTGGGGCAGCACGAGCCGGAGCTCCTAGTGGCCCATGCTTACACACGGTACATGGGGGACCTTTCTGGGGGCCAGGTACTGAAGAAGGTGGCTCAGCGGGTACTGAAGCTGCCAACCACTGGAGAAGGGACCCAGTTCTATGTGTTTGAGAATGTAGACAATGCCCAGCAGTTCAAGCAGTTTTATCGGGCCAGGATGAATGCCCTGGAGCTGGATCTGAAGACCAAGGAGAAAATTGTGGAGGAGGCTAACAGGGCCTTCGAGTACAACATGCAGGTACCAGTGGAGACATAATGGGGACAGGTGGGATTGGCTAGATTTCCAAGTAGGAAAGGGAACTGTTGGGCAGGAGAGGGGTTGAGCCTTAACTATCTTTAGGGCAAATGTGTGGGTGAGTGGTATAGGGGAATAGAGGTGGTATATTAGAATAGGGTGAATGTGGAATCAGCGGTCTGACCAAAGGTAACAAATGGAGTTAGCCACCACACTTTTAACTTGAAGATCTAAACCTGGCAGATGTTTTACTAAAGACTATGCTGGTCATAGCCTTTTGTTTCCAGTTTAAAAGTATTTCAGAAAATGCTGTGGTTTTCATTTACTTAGGTGCAGGATAAGAAATTTCTTTTTGTAGGCTTCAGATGTGAGGCCAACTTGAAGCAAGCTTTGTCTTGTTGCTATTTTACCTTTCAGAGAAGGGTATTAGAAGCATCCTACTTAGATTTAGGGAGAGAATGATTTAGGAGAATAATGTTGCCCCCTCAAGCAGCCTCAAAAGTATCAATAGGACCAGTCATACTGAGCTCTAGAATGATATGCTCCAGGTGGGAATATAATAGCCCAGTAAAGGCCATCAGGAGTAGTTTGGGAAGGTTCCACTTTAAACTCTTGAGATACCAGGTTTCTTTATCCTGGGGACTTTGCATTCACTCTTGGATGGGCCTGAGAAACAGATTCCATCTAGGCATGGGGTCGTGGACATAGTAGGTAATGAATAAATCTTTGGGCCTCTTCCAGGGGACTCTCAAATCCTCAGCATGGTCTTTCTGTAGACTGCAGCTCACTTAGTACAGGCCTGTGGACAAGCTTCACTTCCCCATAGCAAGACACACCTGGAAAAAGCAGCGTGAGGGTGCTCAGGAAATGCCCAGTAATCCATTTAAACTTTTTGTTTGGTCCTAACTTGTGGTTTTATTGGTATAGAGGACTCTCTTGGTGAGAAAACTCCTATCAATGCAGATCTGCAACTGTTGTGAAAGTTACATTCTGAGTGCCCTGGGGCACTGAGATATGTTCCATGAGTTGTCCAAGGTCACACAGCCAGTAGGTCAGAGATGGGACTTGAACCCAGGTCCCCCTGACTCCAAAGCTGGCTCTCTAAACCCTGGGCCACTCTTTTAAACTACTCAGTTCTTAATCTGCCCTCAAGAATACTGGAACTACATTTCCCTGGATTGGGTTGTAGAAGTGAATTAATCAGGCTATGTATGGTAGAACCCAGTGATTGGTCCCCCTGGGGTATTTCCATCAGTGAGAGAATCAGAGGACTATGCCACAGCAGCTCTGGGGTTAGTTTCCACCCCACAGGGAGGGCATTAAAGACTATAAACTGATTCATCTACAGCAGCAGGTCATAGGGAGTTACCCTGAAACATTCAATAGGAAGTTGCTTCTCATTTTCTCATGGTACCTATCACCCCAACCCCTGAATACAAGGGAAATCTGCCAGGTGAGGGCTCAGTTGATACTCTACTCCTCCAGATTTTCAATGAACTGGACAAGGCTGGCTCTTTGCTGGCCACAGAACCCCAGGATGGAGAGCTTCTAGTACATGATGGGAAAGGAGATGTGCGCAAGTGCCCCTACTATGCTGGTCAACAAGGTAAAGGTGGGTCTTACCCTTCTCCGACTCCTCCAGATAGGGCTGGTCACCTTGGCTGTCTAACCCCACGGTGTCTCCTGTTGGCATTGTCCCTGCAGGTGCCCATGAGGGTAGTGCTTGCCCCTTCAAAAACATCACGGCTTTATTGAGGCAGCCCAACCTTCAACTCGTCCTTGCTGCTGTTGTGGCCCTGGCTTCTGGACTGATGGCCTGGTACTTCATGTGAAGGAGGAGCCTCTGACCCTCGGACTCGCCAGGGATGATCCCAGTCAATCTCCCATCCCTACCCTAACCCCACTGACTAAACCACCACCTCAGGTGACTTTTTTTTTTTTTTAAAGCTGGGTTTGAGAAAACAAGCAACCAATAAAACCAGACACTAAAGTCAATGCCCAACAGACTGCTCTCTGCAATATGATTTTGTAACCCAGATACTAAGGGTAGGGTCATGGATCTTCCCAGCAAGATAAGCCCAGAGGACAACTCAAACCCAGAACTTAGTGATACAGGAAGCACAGCTTAGATCCAAAACCCTCTATGCAGTGGAGCAATTTCCCTCAGCCTTGTGGAGTCAACTCCTCCCCTCAGGGCTCCACCATGAATTTAGGGCTCTCTTCTTCCTTCCTCTCGTCTCTCATCACTCAGGTCTGTGTTGAGCACTCAGTCGATGAGATGCTTCACTCAGAACAATGGTAACTTGTTGGGGTGGAAGGAAGGAAGAGAGAAAAAGAATAAAGCTGCTATACCGTGTCCACCACACCAAAGGCAGGGGAACAGATAGCCCTGGGAGGAAAATAGCCTGTGTTTCTGGGCCTGAGAACCAGGTTTCTATCCTAGACTCTGAGGAAGAGTTTTCATTTTGGCTACTTCCTTCAGCAGACCAATTCTTCTGTCCCTCCTGGACAGAACAACAGAAGCAAAGTTGGCTTCTCATGTAACCCATGTAAGTGCTAAAGCATCCAATAAAGTTTATACTTGAAACCTTCTGCCTCTTCTTTCATAATGTAAAAAACAAATAAAACACTTAAGTACTGACGCCTCCAAATAGCTACTTGGGCAGGAGAATTTAGGGGTGGGGGGTGAAGTGATCTAGCACTACCCCTAGATAGGTATATTGGGCAAATGGGATTCTTGACCTGAGCCTTGGAGTTAGGTAGTGGGTCCCTCTTCTGTTTTAGATTTCACATTTGTACAGCAGTCTAGGTCACAGAACATTGGAACTGAAAGATTTTGAGATTATCTAACCCAACCTCCTAATTTTATATCTCAAAGAGAGGAAGTTACTCAACTGAGGTCATGTAGCAAGTGACAAGATCTAAACTCGGGTGGTCTATTTCAAGTCGAGCTTTCCTGCTACATCACATACTAACAGGCCACACTCCCAAGTGTGGCTGAACCAGATTAAAATGTAAATGGGGAAGTATTTAACAAAACACTATAAAACATGAGAGTTATCTTGTGGTCTTCTAAGTAGATAAGCAGCCTGCAGGGATCCTTATGTACAGTTTAGTGGCCCCCCCATTTCTGAGTCAAGCACCACTATATCACACTAGCTTATGCCAACTCAGGTTGGCCCAAAAAGTACTGATCAGCAGTACTATCAATGCAGATCTGCAACTGTTCTACAAGTTACAGCCTGAGTGCCCTGGGGCACTGAGATATGTTCCGTGAGTTGTCCAAGGTCACACAGCCAATATGTCAGAGGTGGGACTTGAACTCAGGTCCCCCTGACTGCAAAACTGGCTCTCTAAACTTAGCACAGAATAAGGAGAAAAAGCAGCTGACAGTGTAGAGGTTGCCCTTCTGTTACCACTTCCCTTACTCAGTTTCTCTATCCCCTGAGAAGACTGTAGATGTAATACTTACTTCCATTCATTATCTATCCCTCTTCCACAGGCATATGAAATTTAATTAGCAGCCAGAATCATACTGCTTTCAACTTGGGATGGGCTCAACCTGTGATTTCACCAGGAGTTCCTTGTGCAGAACTTCCTCTGCCAACCCAAACAGGTCCTTTTCGTGCAGCTTCCTCTGTGGTGTCACCTTCAGAACCTCTGAATGGTGAGGGTGGGGAACACTCTCAAAACGAAGGTCTCACTTAAGTTCCTGCCTTTTCTAATACTGCCAGTAATATCCCTACCAGTTTCTGAGGTTACTCATTTATTAGAGGAGGAAAAAAGCCCATAGGGAAAGGGCTTTGTCAGAGCTTTGTCTCTGGGCTAAAACTGTGAGGAAAGGTACAGCACTGAGAAATTAAGGAATTTGCCATGTCACGTAACCATCATGAGTCAAAGGTAGAAATCGGAACTACCTGTTTCTGAGACCAACTATCTATCCTTTGGGCCAAGCTACTTCTTAAGGCTGTTATCTAGAACTCCAAATCTCCTGCTGTGGCTGATGGTTGAAGACTTCAGTAGGACCAAACAGGTTTTGGGTATTTCAGATCCCAATGCTCCTCCCATGCAAAATAAAAATACATAGGGCAAAGGAAGCCCAAGGGACAGGGAAAGGTGGGCAGATGGGCCAATTTAATGTAAGTGATAAACTAAGACTTGAGAACAAACAGGTTCACATTAAATAGGATGACATGCATTTGAATTGCAGAAACCAGGTAAGGGGTACAGTAGCAGCAGTGATCCTTATGACACAGGTCCCAAGTCTTATTCCATAACAGGGCTTAATCGGATGTCAGCTCAGCCTCATTACCCATTATCACTTCTCTTCATTCTCTACCCAAACCTCATTAAATAACATGATTTCTCCAACTGAAGCTCTAAACACAATGGACATTAAAAGGTTTAGTGCAAAAATAGTGTTCCCCAACATGATTTAAAAGAAGTAAAATATCTGCAAATAACAATTCACACAAAGCATGTTGTGCACGTGCCATCTAGTGGCCAGTCAATAAACTTCCATGTCTGGGAAGTGGGGATAAAGTAGGGTTTAGAATAGTATTTCTGGCCTCTTCCCAATCCCCCTTCCACCACAGGTGTGCAATTGAGACACAGAAAAAGGTCAAAATGTCAGATTTCAGGTACAATAAGGAAAAAGTCCAAAAAGAGCAAGCTGAGTCTTCCATTGCCACTTCACTCTCATCTCCCCAGAGGTGGGGCTCAGCAGCCATTGTACCATAGGTACAATGGTGGACTTTTGGAAAGGGAGGTAAGCAGATGAGCCAGTGGCATCTGTTAAGTTGGGAGATGCAATCAATTTTGCTTGTTACTTTTTCTAAGTTGGCACCCAGCCTTGTTCCAAAATGGTGTCATACTTGAGCAGGGCTCTCTGAGGTCTGATCCTCATTGTTCACCAACTCTTTCCTAATCAGCACTTAGTCCTACAGAGCTTCTGTGTGTCCTAAGTTGTGATACCTGAGAGTTTCTAATGCCAGTGGTTTCAATTCTGTTTTTCTATTACACAGAAATCCTGTCCTTCATGATACATCTAGTTCTGACCAGAATTTGCACAATCCCAGCCGCTTTAGTCTATCTTTTAGGAACTTAGAGCTTTCTCTGTTTAATTAGAAACACAGGACGAAGGCCTTTTGAACCCACCTTTTCCCGTTGTGTGTTCTCAGTGGCTACTAATGACCACTTTGCCCCCTGGTTTCTCTGTTCCTTAAGCAAGGGCTCCCTTCCACCCCTCAATACCATCCACATCAACATCCCATGTCTGGCTAGTTGTGGTCATGAACTACCTTGGGCTATTCTGTAGCATGGAAAGTATCAGAACAGACATGCAATAGTGTCAGGGCAAACTGACTGGTAGTAGAAGGTAATTGTCACTGTAGAAGGCATACAGATAGAGTAGTAGGAAGAGGAACTTCTATCCCAGAGGCCCCATGGAAACAAATTACTGTTCCACGATGCAGGATTTCTCTGATTCCCAAGGAGGCAAATGTGAAATAACCAATACAGTATTACAGTGGTGGGATCTGGAAACTTCCAATGGGGAGAGTACCTCTGCTAGTGGACAGTTAGTTCACTCTTGAAATCCTGATTATATATACTGAGCAAAATATCAATAGCCAAAATAACATGCTTGTCACTTCCCCCCACCCCATTAACACTAAACTTCCAATCTGCCAAACCCTAAACCAGAAGAGATACAAATATCCCTGGGCTGGACAGACCAGAGAGGACAGGAGTTCCCTGCTTCCAACCTAAGGAGGAAAAAGGGAAAAGCTACTGCCAAGCAGGAAAACAAAGCACAGGGTATAGGATTGACAAGCAAAAAGGAGAGATAGTAATCCCGGGTCCCAGCTCCCGGGGGTCTCCGTTAGCACAGGCGCTTGTACGTGTAGATGTAGGCTTTGCAGTTAGGACAGCTGTGTGTCACATCTTTGAAGTCATCAATCAGGCAGGGGATCAAGCAGCAGCCCAGGTCACACCTGAAGCAGAAAGAAAAGTTATTCACGAGAACAAAAGCTGTGACCAGGGAAAGGTGTTGAGGATGGAGATGATGAGCAACAGCCTAAAGCCCTGTAAAACTGGTGTCCAGTACTAAGAGGTACTCGAAAGAGGTTGTGGATAATCTGAAAAGTAGATAGTAAAGCAGCTATGCAGGTCTCCAGAAAGAAGAATCTACAAGTGGGTGGGATTCTCGTCTTACCGAGGCCAGGCTTTTTCACATACCCCATGAAGCAGCAGAAGAAGCCTAGTACAAAGTTCATCAGGCCAATCTCATAGGAGATCTTGGTGGTGATCGACTGCTGGCAGTGAGGACACACAGTCTGCACAGGTGCCCCCTCGAAGATTTCTCCCTGCAGCACAGTCACTGTAGTTGCAGCCCCTGAAGGGACAAGGACAGTGGCTGTGTGGCCCCCAGGGCCTGGATAAGGACCTGTGGGGTAGTAGCCCATGGGAGGGTGAGGGCCAGGAGGTGGATAGAAGCCTAGAGAAAAGAGACAAGCAGTCAATTCACAGGCTGCTAATGTTCCCCAAACGTCAGGCCAGCAAAAAAATGTTAGCATTTCCAGTACCAAAAGGTAACAGGTTAACTCGAGAACTTTGCCCCCTCCTTTCTCTACCAAATGCAGATCATAAGGCTGTACAGGGACCTAAATGAACTACTGGAGCAGGTAACCCCTGTAATGAGGTAGGTGGAAGTCCCACTTCCCTGACCCAGGCTGACCACTTGCATCCTTGAAAGTCCTTCACAAAATGGGATAAAAGCTCATTCCAGAGAATTATAGCTCCTCCTCCTTCTTCTTGGGGAGGTAAGACAAAGAAGGCCAGATGTCTCAGCTGAAGTCCACAAATCTGGGAAGAGAACCCAGGTGTCTCGACTTCTAGTTCCAGTTACTGCATTCAATCTCATTATTCTTTTTGGCCAGTACCCTGCAATGGACCAGGGCTTCATGTGTATGGCCTGGGGCGAGCAAGTAGCTCAGTTGTGAGGCCTTTCAGGTTTGTAGAAACTTAATAGGTCTTAAAGTTCAACCCAACTCAAGATACATCTAAAGGCAGAGACGAGGAGAAAGTTGTTGAGCAAGAATTGAAGCTTTTTGTTCTAGGAGTGGAAATAGTTTAAAAAAAAATGCACAGCAGAGGATCTTCAGGATAACATGCTAAACATTCCACATGTGTTTCAACCAGAAATAACCACCTAATTTTTATAGTGTTATCTAAGTACTTGCTTTTGTCAATGAGATAGGGGAGTGTCAGGTGGAATTCTTAAGGCTACAGGCTAGTCTGGGCTCTTCCACAACTGCCAGGGAGCATGTCTGATCCACTTCACTTCAGAGGGAAAATATGCTTCTTGCATAGTTTTTGGTGATATAAACTCAGGTGGAAACACCAAGTGGAAGGCCAGCTTCTTCCTGGACCATTCTTTTCTGGGCCCTGGGCATCAATTTTAAGTAAGAAACCTTTTGAAATTATTAAGAGGTTTTCAGAGGAAAATTACCCATCAGATTTTTTATTTTAGATTTGAGCAACATGACCACTTAAACCAAGGCAGCTAGACACACTAAGATCAGTGGTAAACCTAGGTTTTATAGATAAAAGAATTACTTAGTATGATACAGATGATAAATCATCAAAGGTTAGTAGAATTGTGGAAATACTGGTGGCCCCCACTTTCTCACTTTTCACCCCTCTGCAATATGGCTTCCAACCTCAGCACGCCACTGAAACTGCTCTTTTCAAAGTTACCAATAATCTATCTAATTGTCAAATCTGATGTTATTTTACTAATTCTCATCCTTCTTGACTTATACGCAGCATTTGAGTTACCCACCCCCTCTCCTCCTCCTTGCTACTTTCTTTTCTCTAGGTTTTCATAACACTGCTTACTTTTGGTTGTCTCTTCTGACTGATCCTCAGTTTCCTTTACCTGTGCATTACTCATAAGGAAGTTTCTAAATGTCACTTTTCATTTGATGACCTCATCATCGTCCAAGTGTTTATTATCATCTCTTGCAGAGCTTTATAGATGAGACAGCCTAGTTTCCCCTCTGGCTGTGAAAAGCTTTAAATGCCAAAGTATTTGTTTGATCTTGGAGTTCGAGCAGGGGAGGGATATATTCAAACTGGATGTCCTTCAGGTAGCTCAAACTCAACATGTCCAAAGCAGAATTCATTTTCCTCCAACTCTGTCAAATTCAGTCTTCTTCTGAACTTCCCCCCATTTCTATCCAAGGCACCACTATCCTTCAAGTCATCCCATCCAGCTTCACACACCTTGGTATCAGCTCTGATTTCTTATTCTCACTCAATTTATGTATCTGTTTGCAAAATCTTTTTAAATTCATAATTCCAAAATCTCTCTTGCATCCATCCCTTTCTCTACCACCTTAGTTCAAGCCTTCTTTGCCTGAACTTATACTGCATTAACTTCCTAGTTGGTCTTTCTCCTCTCTCCAATCTACCTTCCAGTCAGTCACCAAAATGATTCTCCTAAAATGTGAGTCTGAAAATGCTATTCCCCTACTCAAACTCCCCAGGCTTTGTATCGTCTCTAGGATTAAATATAAACAATCCCAGAATTTAAAATCCTTCACTACTTGGACTCAACCTGTCTTTCCAGCTTTATTACACATTTCCTCCTCCCCCCTGTGCTTTATGGTCCAGCCAAACTAGTTAAATAAAACAGCCTTCTTGCTGTCCCTCCCACACAACTCTCCCATCTTCTATTTGGTGTCTTTGCCCTTGTTGTTTACCTCAGGTCTGGAATATATTTCCACCTCTCCTCCACTGCAAAAAATTCTTCCCTTTAAGCCAAGGCTAAAGCGCTACCTTCTACAGGCTTTTCCAGAGAAGCCCCCTCCAAAGAACTGCTACCACTTTTGCCAAACTGCCTTACCTTTTTTTTGTATTTTTCTATATGTACATGTCTCCCCTGCCTTAAAGGCAGGGACTGTTTTCGCTTTGTCTAGTATCCCCAGCAACTAGCACAACACCGGGCACACTGAAGGCAACTGTCATTTTTGATTGGCTGCTAACAAGGAAAAGCTGGAAAGGTATAACCTGAGGTAGAGGCAGTTCATTGAGACTAGGAGTGGATTGTCTGAAGTCTCCATATATCTCAGTTTTGATAATCACCTTCTTTACCTCCTATTCTTTCTGGAACAGCATATCTATGGATGTTTCCACTCTTGTAAGGGAAAATCAGAATTTTACACGGACTGACACACTTTTGGTTGAACAGAAATGGTATAACAGAGATAATCCCATTAAACAATTTCATGAGAAAGGGCCAAACTAAGGTGAAGCAGCTAGATGGTGAAGTGGATAGTGTTGGGCCTGGAGCATCAAGGAAGACCTCAGTTTGAATCCTGCCTCAGATACTTTCTAGCTGTGTGACCCTGAGCAAATTGTTTAACTTCTGTTTCAGTTTTCTCATCTGTAAAATTGTGATAATTACAACCCCCACCTCCCAGGGTTGTAGTTATTGTAATCTCCTTAAGGGCAGGGACTGTTTTCTAGTATCTTTTTGTATCCCCACTGCATAGCACGGGGTCTTGCACACAGTAGGCATTTAATACATATATGATTGATAAAATGAGAAAATATTTGTAATCACTTAGCACAGTGTTTGGCACACAGGTATTTAACATATTGTATTCACTTTGAGTTCTCTGAGTGAATCCCAGCAAATTTTTCATTTTTTCATCAGTTTATTTTTCTTTTTACCTAAAAACAAATCTTGTTCAGCAAAAAGGGGAAAACAGTCCCTAGTAAAATTGGAGTCAGTCTGAAGGAAATGCAAGTTTTTTAGTAAAGAAACTTTCCCCAAAACTATCTGATTGAACTGGAGCCCAATTTTGTCAATTTTTTTCTTCCTTGATCTGGTCTAACCAGGAAAGGAAAAAAAGAAACCAAAAAGAGAGAAAAATACAAAAAGAAAGATAGTCTTTAAGCTTTTGAGATTTACTGCATTGACAAAAGACTAATTCATGACTCTGAAAAAATATCAAGCGTCACTCTTTGATTATGAATTTTCAAATTATGGGGGGAACGAGATTAAACTTTGCTATCAATGTCATATATACTAAATTCCATAGTGTCATTTCTTTTTTAATTTTTTTTTTTTTAGGCAACTGGGGTTAAGTGATTTGCCCAGGGTCACACCGCTAGTAAGTGTCAAGTGTTTGGTCAGAGGTTGGATTTGAACTCAGGTCCTCCTGACTTCAGGGCCGGTGCTCTATCCAATGCACCACCTAGCTGCCCCCATAGTATCATTTCTCTGGATGCACTTCAGAGATTGTTAAAAAGGGGAATTAGAGAAGTTAAACATATGAAATTGGTGTTTTTTTCTTAAAAGCGATCTTTTCCCTCTCATTTTCCATCATCTCCCTCACCACTCATACTCTATGAATGCCCACTATCAAAAAGGATGGAGGACTGTGGAGGTTCCCTTGAACTATGTACTGACATTACTTAACTTCAGTGTGATAAAAATCATTCATTTTCTGAGTTGGTCTCTCCTCCCTGTGGAAAAATTTGTATTGCTTTGCCTTATCTCAAAGCGAAACTGTGGTTGGGTGAGCTGTATTTATGATAAGCTGTTTAAGTTTAAGCCTGTCACTCTAGCAGCTATCCAACTGAGGTACTTTTCATTTTACTAAGAATTACACCGATAAACTGCTTGCTTATCACATTCTTTTGTTCTTGGTTCTTAAAAGCTTATTTTATACAAACATTATTATATTAGGAGTTATGTCTGTAAGCCTGAAATAGCCTGCTGTATAGTACTACCTGACAGTTGTTGAGACTTTGATTTATTTTATGCTTAATCTCACAAATACTGTAATCATATATCTCCCTATTAGAGCAGATGTTCTTAATCTGTGATCCACAGTACATGATGCCCACTTCCCACCTCCCAGATATCTAGGGATAGAATTAAGGGTATCCATGAATTTGATTTTTAATATTTTAATAACTACATTTCAATATAGGTTTCATTTGTGATCCCATGTATTTTATGTTTTATTGTTTAAAGATATTATTCTTAGAAGGGGAACACAGACTTCATCAGAAGAGGTCCCTGACACAAAAAAATATTAATCAAATAGTAGAAGCATCTTCCTGGGGGACATGGCATTCCTCCTTCTGGAAAACAATTATCTAAACATTTAAAGGTATATAAGAATTTATTTGTTTTGTGGGTAAATAGTACAAGACACTCTGGGAAGCTGGAAATCCTATTAACTCATGATACTTAATCTATAAGTTCCTGTGATAGCAGAAATGCCTTTATGAGTTTTCAAGCTTGTAAATATAAACTGAAATAAGAAATTCTCCTATGGGTAAATGGAAATTCAGTGGTCCTCTAAACATGGTAATTAGAAAATTGGTTTTCAAAGTTTTAGGTTGTTACTAAAGGGCAACATGGATTTTGCAAAATCTACAACTGGACAAAGCTTACCTATTTGAACAGTTTGCCTT